AGAATTTTCTTGGATGAAAGACTTTTAGTGTCTCTAATAGATATAGGACTATTCAAGTTATGAGTTTCATTTTGAGAGATGATCACAGCTATTTTAGGATTTGTGTAGTAAAGAATATATTTCTGTATCAAAAACCCTTCTTTGCCATGACTTGATAAAGCCTCGTTTCTCTTTTCTTATTCCTGACAAGTCGAGCTGTGCCGTGACCCTCTTTGTTGACATAGGGCTTATCCTCTGTCTCTCGGGCTAGTGCCTGTTAGGGCACACCCACTGGCTGGCTGTGCTCCTGGACGCACTTGCAGTCCTTCCAGCAGTGTGTGAGTGCGCTCGTGTCCCTGCATCCTGGTGGTGCTACGTATTGCTGTCTTCACTGACTCTGTAGCTTTTGGGCCAAAACAAAATTCTCATTTTATTTCTTATATTTATCACATAGTTGGTTATTTTTCATATACTCATTAGCTGAACAACTGAATTTTTGGATCTTTACTCTAGGTGTTGCTGTAGGAAGAAGGATGTTTGAGGATTATAATGATGTGGCACTTAAACCCAGTCAGAGATGGCCAAAGGGCAGAGTAATAGGAGTGGATCAGCTTCCTTTTTTGTTATTTTTATTTTTTATTTTGGTATCATTAATATACAATTACATGAGCAATATTGTGGTTTCTAGATTCCCCCCATTTTCAAGTCCCCACCACATATCCCATTACAGTTACTGTCCATCAGTGTAGTAACTTGCTGTAGAGTCACTACTTGTCTTCTCTGTGCTATGCTGCCTTCCCTGTGCCCCCTCCACGTGATGTGTGCTAATTGTAATGCCCGCTTTTCTCCCTTATCCCTCCCCAGTCCCTTTCCCTTTGGTAATTGTTAGTCCATTCTTGGGTTCTGTGAGTCTGCTGCTGTTTTGTTCCTTCAGTTTTTGCTTTGTTCTTATACTCCACAGATGAGTGAAATCATTTGGTACTTGTCTTTCTCTGCCTGGCTTATTTCACTGAGCATAATACCCGCTAGCTCCATCCATGTTGTTGCAAATGGTAGGATTTGTATTCTTCTTATGGCTGAATAATATTCCATTGTGTATATGTACCACGTCTTCTTTATCCATTCATCCACTGATGGGCACTTAGGTTGCTTCCATATCTTGGCTATTGTAAGTAGTGCTGCGATAAACATAGGGGTGCATCTGTCTTTTTCAATCTGGGCTCCTGCATTCTTAGGGTAAATTCCTAGGAGTGGAATTCCTGGGTCAAATGGTATGTCTATTTTGAACATTTTGAGGAACCTCCATACTGCTTTCCACAATGGCTGAACTAATTTACATTCCCACCAGCAGTGTAGGAGGGTTCCCCTTTCTCCACATCCTCACCAGCATTTGTTGTTTCTAGTCTTTTCTATGTTGGCCATCCTAACTGGTGTGAGGACATTGTGGTTTTAATTTGAATTTCTCTGATGATTAGTGACATGGAGCATCTTTTTATGTGCCTGTTGGCCATCTGAATTTCTTCTTTGGAGAAGTGTCTGTTCAGCATCTCTGCCCATTTTTTAATTGGATTATCTGCTTTTTTGTTTGTTGAGACACATGAGCTCTTTATATATTTTGGGTGTCAACCCCTTATTGGATCTGTTTTTTAAATACACTCTATTTTTAAATTGGGGAGTTTAATCCATTTATGTTTAAAGTCATGGTTGATAGGGAAGGACTCATCTATTGCCATTTTGTTCATTGTTTTCTTTCCTATAGCTTCTTTTTCCTTCTTTTCATTTCTCGCTTTCTTCCTTTGTGTCTCATTGATTTTTTTTTGAGGTGCCATGCCTTCTTTTGTAGTGACATGCTTTCTTTAGTGTACCAGCTGTAAGTGTTTTCTTTGTGGTTACCATAGGGCTTACATAAAACATCTTATACTTAGAACCATCTAGTTTAGGCTGATGACAACTTAACTTCAGTTGCATACATGTTCTTCACACTCTCACTTCTTCCTCCTCCACATTATTGTTATTATAAAAAATAACATCTTTTTATATTGTGTATCCATTAAAATATTTGTATGGATATATTTTTTAAATACATTGTCTTTAAGCTTCTATTAAAAGTGATTTATGAACACTGTTACAGTATTATTGTATTCTGTATTTGACTATATATTTACCTTTGTCAATGAGCTTTATATTTTCACATACTTTCATGTTGCTGTTTAGTGTCTTTTTGTTTCAATTTGAAGGACTCCCAGGACTTCTTCTAAGGCAAATCTACTGAGGATGAACTCCCTCAGCTTTTCTTTATGTGGGAATGTCTTTATGTTTTCCTCATATTTTAAGGACAGTTTTTCTGGTTATATAGTGTTAGTTGGAAGTTTTTCCTTTAAGCACTTTGAATGTATCATCCCACTCCATTCTGAACTGTAAGGTTTCTGCATAAAAATTCACTAATAATCTTATAAGTTCCCTTGTACATGACAGGTCACTTATCTATTGCTGCTTTCAAAATTCTCAGTCTTTGACTTTTGATAATTTATTATGTTGTGTTTCAGTGTGATTTCTTGGATTCATCCTTTCTTGAGTTTGTTGGACTTTCTGAATCTAGATGTCCATTTCCTTCCTCAGATCTGGGATATTTTCAGTCATTATTTCTTTAAATAAACATTCTGCTGCCCCTTTCTCTTTTTCTTCTCCCATGAATCTCTTAGACTTCCTTCATGCTTTTTCATTCTTTTTCCTTTTGTTCCTCTGATTGGATAATTTAAAATGACCTGTCTTCTAGTTTGATGTTTCTTTCTTCTTCTTGCTTATGTGTGATATTGAACTCCTCTCACTTGTACTCTTTGGCTTCAAAATTTGTTCACGTATTTTTTATGTTTTCTGTCTTTTTGTTGACGGTGTCATTTTGTTCATACTTCATTTCCTTGCATATGTAGAACATCATTATGATGATTATTTTGAATTCTTTGTCAGATAATTTATATGCCTCCATTTCAGCATGATACTTTTCTGGAGATCTTTTTTTTTGTTTTGGCCATGTTTTCCTGTTTCTTCATATGGCTTATTTTATGTTGGGATCTACACATGGGAAAAAACAGCCACCTCTCCCAACATTTATGAACTGGCTTCATAACAGGAGAAGCCCCTCACATATGAACCCAGTTAGAGGTTCCGGGGGCCTCTGAAACTTTTCCTGGGTGTTGGGGTGACTTTCCGAGGCTTGTGTGTGCAGTTTCTCTATTGGAGAGCCTTGCTGGTTTTTCAGGGGCTCATAATCTCTTGCTTCTTCTGGTGCCTGTTTGTGGCACTGCAGGTTCTCTGGTATTACATCAGCCAGCTGTTCTGCTCTCTCTTGCACTCGGTGGCCACCAGGCATCCAGAGCACACCAGCTCTTCAACGGCACCCCACATTAGGTGGGACAGATACCGTTCCCTCAAAAACCCTGTGCAAAGGCAGAACACCAGAGCACCTTCTACTCTTCTCCTCCATCCTGAGGGAGAGAAGCCCCAAGTTGTGTGCTGGCTTCCCATCCCACCAGGTTGTGCTGGCTGCAGGATGCCACTCCTCACTTTTCTTTGGTTTCAGCAGCATCCAGGCAACCCTCCAAAGAGCCAAAATGCTGGATGCATGCTGCCCTTTTCTCCCTGCATCTGGAAGGAAAAGTCAGAGGCTGAGGTGTTCTTGCCTGGCAGTGAGCTGAGGTAGCTTGGGAGAGGGACTGACATGGGGAAAATGAGATGCTCTTCTTATCCATTTCAACACAGCTCTTTTCAGCTTTGTGCTCCCTTGGGGTAATACAGCTTCTTACCTAGATCATGGAAATCTCATAAAGATATTTTGATCTGTATATCATTGTTAAAGTGATGTTTCTGTGGTAGAATAAGGATGGAGACTTACTATTCTGCCCTATTGCTGATGTCACTCTCACCCTTCCTACACTTCTTTAGACTGCTGGTTTAGAAGTGAAATGACTTCACAGACCTGTCCACATATGTATTATGATCCTTCATGTTTGCCACTTGACAATGAAAGACATTTTGAGGCCACATTGAGTATAACTAATCACATCTTCCCTGTTAAAGCTATAGTCTGTTCCTTGCTACTTTTTCTTTTTCTGTCCTCAGAAAGCCTGGCTTTCTGGGATGGTGGGAAAGATAAATCTGGTAATAGGTATATAGGTTGGCCTTTATAACTAAGTTTCCCATTTCTAGAGTACATGATGATGCATTTGAGACTAAAGGCACAAAAAGAAATGCTTAAACTTTCCAGATAAGCAGTTATCCGAGCAGAATATAGCCAATGATTCTGTAACATCTTCCTGTGTTGACAGATGGTAACTGTACTAGTGGGGGTGAAGATTTAATAGTATGGGTAACTGGTGAACCACTGTGTTATATACTTGAAACCAATATAAGATTGTATGTCAACAATACTTAAATAAAAAAAAAGTTCTCCAAGCAAAATATGTTCATAACTACATTGTCCTTTTTTTAAACACCGTTGTGTTGATTTTTAAAGGCTTTATATACTTGATATATAGTAATCAGATCATTGCATGGGTTCTCATATTGAAGATTTAGGTGATGGCAGTAATAGTCACTTTCATTTCATAATGGCAAATATGACAAGTTCTCTATGTGTCTAGAGTCAGAACATAAAATAGAAATGCACTGTCATAGACTCTACAGTCAGTGCCTGAGCTTGTATCCTAGTTCCACCACTCAGCCAGGCTATCAGTCAGGTTATTTAGCCTTTTTTAATCTAATTTTTTCATTTGTGCCTCAGTTTTGTCATGTATAAAGTGGGTTTGATAATAATAGCACCTACATCTTGGGTTGTTTTATGAATTAAATGAGACGATTTACACATAGATATAAAATTTTGAGAATAGTGCCTGAAATTTAGGAAATGCTGAATCATTGTTAGTTATTAAAAGCAGTTGTGATGAGATTGCTCATTTTAAGCTTAGTAACCATTAGATATCATGTTAAAAAAAAATTAAATGACCTTTCTACCTCATTTACAGAGTTGATACTGTGGGACAACCAGACAGAAGAGACAGTATAGGAGTGTGTGTAGAAAAACAGAATGGATATGACTCTCTGCAGCGGGATCAAGCAGTGTGCATTAGTACAAATGGTGAGAGATAAATAACTGTCATTATGTGTTGACAGATGGTAACTGTACTAGTGGGGGTGAAGATTTAATAGTATGGGTAACTGGTGAACCACTGTGTTATATACTTGAAACCAATATAAGATTGTATGTCAACAATACTTAAATAAAAAAAAAGTTCTCCAAGCAAAATATGTTCATAACTACATTGTCCTTTTTTTAAACACCGTTGTGTTGATTTTTAAAGGCTTTATATACTTGATATATAGTAATCAGATCATTGCATGGGTTCTCATATTGAAGATTTAGGTGATGGCAGTAATAGTCACTTTCATTTCATAATGGCAAATATGACAAGTTCTCTATGTGTCTAGAGTCAGAACATAAAATAGAAATGCACTGTCATAGACTCTACAGTCAGTGCCTGAGCTTGTATCCTAGTTCCACCACTCAGCCAGGCTATCAGTCAGGTTATTTAGCCTTTTTTAATCTAATTTTTTCATTTGTGCCTCAGTTTTGTCATGTATAAAGTGGGTTTGATAATAATAGCACCTACATCTTGGGTTGTTTTATGAATTAAATGAGACGATTTACACATAGATATAAAATTTTGAGAATAGTGCCTGAAATTTAGGAAATGCTGAATCATTGTTAGTTATTAAAAGCAGTTGTGATGAGATTGCTCATTTTAAGCTTAGTAACCATTAGATATCATGTTAAAAAAAAATTAAATGACCTTTCTACCTCATTTACAGAGTTGATACTGTGGGACAACCAGACAGAAGAGACAGTATAGGAGTGTGTGTAGAAAAACAGAATGGATATGACTCTCTGCAGCGGGATCAAGCAGTGTGCATTAGTACAAATGGTGAGAGATAAATAACTGTCATTTGCTTTGAAATACATGAATTGCTATAGTAAGCTTTGCATTTTTCACAGTATCACACATTTATAGAAAGATATGAGAAAGTTTGGGTCTTAATGACATATCTATATGGCTGCTGTGTGCCTGGCAATGTTCTGTATCCGTTACGAATGATAAATCATTTAATCCTTTTAACAACTTTTTGAAGTGGAAACTCGTACTACACCCATTTTATAGATGATGAAAACAGAGCCACAGAAAAGTTAAGTAACCGGCTTAAACTCACAATGCTTGGAGGTGACTGAGGGGGGATTTGCATCAGGCAGTCTTCCTCTAGATTCTGTGTGCGTATATCATCTAAGTTCAACATAGACTAGGGAACTGGGGAGAGAGTTTCCTTAATTTGCCAAGCATCTCTTGTTCTTTGGTCCCTTATTCCACAGCAATCACCCTTTAAAAAATCCCTATTAATATGTACTAATATTCTGTGGCATGGGTCAGGCAGTGAGTAGAACAAAAGTTTTGTTGTTGTCATGTGAAACAATCTTGCTGTCCCCCAGGATGTAATTTTTTAATGAAGTCAAATTTCTTTGATGCCATCAATATGGGAAACTCATAGTCTCTATTCTAAAAGAGAATCCTGGATCAGAACTCTAACATAACTTTTACTCCTGCCTTGGGCATGGGGCTTAATAAGCATATTTAAGTGCATTATCTTTGACCAGTTGGCATTTCAAAATGTTTTCTGTACCTAAATTAGGAAATGATCTCTGTTAATAAATATTGTAGAATCTGTTTCAATTCTTAGTTATTGCCCACATGTAAATGACTCTTTACCTTAATATTTTAGGTGCAGTTTTTGTAAATGGAAAAGAAATGACTAATCAGTTGCCAGCAGTTACTTCTGGGTCCACTGTCACATTTGACATTGAAGCTGTGACTCTGGGATCCACCAATAATAACGAAGGCGGAAACTTCAAGCTTCGAGTCACTATTAGTTCAAATAACAAAGAAGTAGTTTTTGATTGGTTACTTGATCAGTCTTGTGGTTCTCTTTACTTTGGATGCTCGTTTTTCTATCCTGGATGGAAAGTGCTGGTGTTCTAGGTTTTTGGGTGGTTGGCTTTGGTTCGTAGGGTGTCCCCAGCCCAGTGTAGTTAGTAATTGATAAGGAAATTGTTAGATTCATCTCTCAGTTAAGCCATTGGAAATGGAAATTGTTTACTGGATTTACTTTGGATGTTTTATCAATAAGATTTGAATATTATGGGCAAAACCATATTGCAGTCAGTTTTATTTTTAGCACAGTGTTAGTTCAAATTGGCTTTTAAAGTATAAGGAGATACAGAAAGTGTTATATACTCTTCCACTGTACTTCTTTTTAAAGTTGGTTATTAGAACAGAAAAACTTAATGTCACATTATTTCATTAAATTGCCATCTTTTAAGGATCCAAGGCCGTGGAAGACTTCAGAATAAAAGAACAGGAAAAGACCAGATAGAACCCAGAGTTCTGTAATATACATTGACTTGTGTGCTCTGTGAGTGAGTGTTGAATATGCTCTCCATATCCAGGTATTTGTAAGCAGTATTTAATTTTATCTCATGTTTCATTCCTTAAATCCCAAAAGCATAATAATTTTTGCATTTTTAAAATTACTAAGCCAATGTCTAAATAGGCAAAATATTTTCTTTTGTTCTTTCCTTGCAATTCATTTCATGATAGACTAGAGAATTTTTTACAGGGTAAAACTTGTTATGGAAGTAGTATGCACAGCAGTATTAGCCATTTCATATGGATGTAGTATGCACATATGCATACCCAGGCTCAGTGATAGGGGTGCCACCATTCATAGGGAATGAGCTGCAGTCCAGTTTAATGTCAGCTTTATAAATGGTCTTTTAGTGGACCAAACAGATGTAGGGTAAATACTTGACCTGTTTTTTGGAAAACTTTAATTTGTTTGAAATATTTATTTGATGGACATCCTTAGTATCTTAACTTGCTATACCAGCCTACAGACTTTTTTGAATGTGAATTTTTTTTTTTCATTTTTAACAGTAGAAAAGTAGCAAAGCAAGTGTGATATTTTTGTAAGATAATTTATTTGGGGATTCAAATTCCCTGTTAGACAATCATGAGTTTTTTTCTCTTGCTGTTTTCTATATAAGTAAGTCATATCTCACTCATTTAGTGATTATTAAGATGTGCTAGAATGTAGATGCCTTGTCTAGCTGTCTGAAACAAAATAAAAACCTGGAAGTTAAATGTGTCTATTTTTTTTTCTGTGAGATATGATGAAACCAATTTTAATTTTTACTTTTAAGTAGAGGGAGAAAAGGACTCACACTTTCTTACATTCTGTGTATCAGATACTGAGCATAGTGCCTGACACATAACATGTGCACAATAAATTTTGGATTGAATGAACGTAGATGAGTTATTTTCTTCAGAACATCTTTATCTCATTCCCTTTATTCAGCAAATATTTATTGAACATCTTTATTTATCCTTCACTGGAATCTGCCTTTTCACTGAAGTGACTTAAACTTAATTTAACTCTAGCAGGAGAGGATTGTAGTATTTTGATGTCTGAACTAATTTAAATATTGGGGTTTTTTTTCTCTTGAACTGTGAACTGAGGATTTTGTTAAAAGCCAGATCATTCTATTTATATATATAGAGGAACCTGAATTCTAGATCTGTTTGTATGCTTAGAGGAATGAGAGAATTTGGGTGATGAAAATAAGAATTGATATTTATTGAGACCCTATTTTGTGCCAGGCATGATGCTAAATTTTAAAAATACATTCATTATCTCATTTAATCCACATACCATGCTTATGGATATGTTATCACTATTATTTGTACTTTACAGATGAGAATACTTAGTTCAAGAGATGTGAACTAATTTGTGTAAGGTCATCACTTGTGACTAGTCTGGTCAAGACTTTAGTCCAGCCCCATTTCGCTGTGGAGCCCCAGCTCTTAATCATTGAGTTCCTGGGAGGACTGACGCTAATGGGACACCTCAGGTGTAGATAATAACCGACTGTGGGCTAAATAGTAGAAATTGCAGGAGTAGCACTGAGAAGGAAGGACAGATTGCATCTACCTGAAAATCTCAGGGAGCAAAGTAAATCTTGAAAGGTGAGTAGAAATTTGATAAGCTTGGAACTGATCTCAAGCAGAAGGGACAGAATGTGCAGAGGTGATGGAGGGAACAACAGTGTGTGTTAGGGCATCCCCCATTCTCGTAGTAGTGCTGGTATGTGAGGTTGCAGGGCCATCTGAGGGCTGCAGAGAAGTTCCTTGTTCTGTGTTTTCTTGACAGTGCTAAACTGATTTCCAGAGGGGCTGCACCAGATGCGATGTGTTCTCTGAATCTTCCCCAGTATTGGCTGTCACTACTTTTTATTTTGGCCATTCTGATAAATGTGTGGTGGAATCTCATTGTGGTTTAATTTGGCTAATGGTATTGAACATCCTTTCATGTGCTCATTTGCCATCTGTAATTCCTTTTTGGTGAAATGTCTTTTACCTGTTTTCTAATTGGATTATTTACTGTTAAGTTTTAATGTTTTGTTACACATTCAAGATACTAGTGTGCTGTTGGATATGTGGTTTACAAATAACTTATTTATAGCTTGCCTTTTCCTCCTCTTACCAGGATCTTTCCAAGAGCAAAAATTTCCAATTTTGATGAAGTTCAGTGTATTAGTCTTTCCTTTTATGGATTGTGCTTTTGATGTCAAGTCTAAGAAGAAGAATTAGCCTTGCCCTAGATCCCAAAGATTTTTCTCCTGTGTTTTTTCCTAAAAGTCTTAGAGTTTAAATTTTTATATTTAAGTCCATGATCCAGTTTGATTTTGTTTTTCATGAGGTGTGAGACTTAGGTTAAGGTTCATCTGGAAACATATGTGTTCATACAGATGTTCAGTTGCTCCAGCACCATTTGTTACAAAGGCTGTCTTTCCTCCTTTGAATTGCTTGCTCCTTTGTCAAAGATCAGTTTAGCATATTTGAGTCTATTTCTGGGTTCTCCGTTCTGTTCCATTGATCTATGGGTCTATCTCTGTGCCAGTACTGCATGGTATGAATTACCTGTAGCTGTATAAGGTTTTCAAATTGAATTTTTTTTAATGTTTTAAACATTGGGTAAAATTGATTTCTCTTTTTTTCAAAATTATATTAGCTATTCCAATTCCTTTACCTTTTCATGCAGCTTTTAGAATAATCTTGTCTTTATGTTCAAACAATTTTGCTGGGATTTTAGAATTATGTTAAACCTGTAAATCAATTTGAGAAAAGTTGACACCTTTATTATGCTGAGTCTTCCAATCCATGAACGTAGTATGTCTCTCCATGTATTTTGATCTTTGATTTCTTTCACCAGCATTTTATACTTTCCAGCACACAAATTTTGCCCATGATTCGTATCACCAACACCTAAGTTAAATGGTACTGTATTTTTAATTTTGGTTTCCACATGCTCACTCCTAATATTTAGAATTGATTGTATATTTATCCTGCAAAATTGCTGAACTCAGTTCCTCGCCTCCTGAAATTTCCTCTTTGACCTGTGGATTTTCTGTAAGTGTGTTACTTAGTTTCTGAGTGTTGGGTGATTTTCCTGTTATCTTTCTGTTATTGATTTCTAGTTTAATTATGTTGTTGAAAAACATACTCTGCATGATTTCTTTTAGATTTGTTGAGGCTTGTTTTCTGTCCCAGGATATGGTCAATCCTGGTATATGTTCTGTGGATACTTGAGAAGGCGGTATCTGCTGTTGATGGGTGGAATGCTTTATGAATGTAGATTGGATTCTGTTGTTTGACGGTGTTGTAGAGTTTTATATCCTTCCTGATTTTCGGTCCAGTTGCTCCATCAGTTCTTGAAAAGGGGTGTTGAAGTCTCTAATTATAATTGTGGACATGTCTGTCTCTCCTTTTAGTTCCATTCGTTTTTGACTCACATCTTTTATAGCTCTTTTGTTTTATAAATATACACTTAAGATTTCTCTACCTTCTTGGTAGATTGACCATTTCATCATAATGTCCCTCTTTGTCTCTGGCAACTTTCTTTGCTTCATAGTCTACTGTATCTTATATTAATCTAGCCTCTCCTGCTTTCCTCTGATTATTTTTATATGATATATATTTTTCTATCCTTTTACTTTTAATATGTCTGTATTATTTATATATTTGGAAGTCACTTGTAAATAACATATATATAGTTGAGTCATGGTTTTTGTTTTCCTTTTTAATTTATTCTGTCAATCTCTGAGTTTTATTTGGCTATTTGGCCTGTTTAGACCATTTATATTTAATGTTATTATTGGTATGTTAGGGCTTCGGTTTGCCATATTTTTGTTTGTTTGTTTTCTGTTTGTTCTTTCTGGTTTTTATTTCTATGCTTTCCTTTTTTTTTTCTTACATTCTTGTGGGTTGCTTAAAAACATATTTTAGAATTCCATTTTGATTTATCTAAAGTGTTTTTGAATGTCTCTGTGGCTTCTTTAATTGTAAATATTTTTATATGTATGTAATACACATATATACATAACATACATTAACATATATGCATTTATATATGTTTTATGTATATATTACATATATATGTTGTGTGTCTATGTATATATCCCCCACAGGTGTCCCCACTTGCTGAAATTTCACCTTATGCCACTTCACTTTAGAAAAGACCTACATTAGTACCTGTTTTTGCTAACTAGAAGAAATCCAAAAAGGATTTTTGCTTTTATGAAAAAGGCCATTATTATTCTAATGTAGGTCTTAAATAAACGTGAAGTGGCATCGTGAACTTTTGGAAAGTAATTTAGGGTACTCTTCACTTTACATCGTTCTGGCTTATGAAAGATTTCATAGGAATGCTCTACATTCAGATAGTGGAGGGAACCCTGTGTGTGCGTGTATGTGTGTGCATGTGTGTAAAACTTTATATATATATATATAAAAAACTTAACTGCCTAGTGGTATCATTTTACCTGATCAAGTGATATAAAGAATCCTCACCTGCTTTATTCTTCATTTACAATGTGATTTCCTTTCTTAAGTTATATACATTTAGAATCATCACATCAATGTTCTAACTTTTGTTTCAACCATAAGAATATTTTAGAAAACTTAACAGAAGGAAAGCCTATTGTAATTCCCTATATTTCTACTTATCATATTCTTCTTCCTTTATGATGTTCCAAGTTTCCTTCTGTTATCATTTCCTTTTTGTTTAGAGAACGCCTTTAGCCATTTTTCTAGAATAAGTCTGCTAGGTGAAAATTTCTGGTTTTCTTTAATCTGAGAATGTCTTGATTTCCCCTTTATTCCTGAAGGATATTGTTACTGAGTACAGGTTCAGAGTTAACAATTCCTTTTTTTTCAATACTTGAGAAAATATTATTCAGCCTCCCATGGTTTCTGATGGAAAGTCTGCCATTATTTTGTTTTTCCTTGTAGATAAAGTGTCGTTTTCTCTGGTTGCTTTCAATATGCATACTTTTTGTCTTTAACTTTTAGAAGTTTAATTATGATGTATCTTTGCATGGGTTTCTTTGGAGTTATGCTGTTTGTGCTCCCCAGCTTCTTGAATCTTTAGGTTTATGTCTCTTGCCAAGTTTGGGACATTTTCATTATTTCCAGTAATTTTTTCAACCCTGCCTTCTTTTTTCTTTCCTCTTGGACCCCAGTGACACAAATTTTGCATCTTTTGTATATCCCTCTGATTCCTAAGGTTCTGCTTTTTGTTTGCTTTTTTTTTAAGTCTGTTTTCGCTCTGTGGTTCAGATTGGGTAATTTCTATTGTTCTACCTTACAGTTCACTGATTCTCTCCTCTGTCACATTCATTCTACTGTTGGGCCCATCTGCTGATCCTTTTATTTTGGTTATTATGTTTTTCAGTTCTAAAATGTCCATTTGGCTCTTCTGTATATCTTCTATTTCTGTGCTAAGACCTTCTGTATTCTTTGATGAGGCTGTTCATTTTCTCATGTTTCAAGTGTGTTCATACTTGCTTATTGAAACAGTTTCATCATGGCTGTTAAGATGTAGTCTTATGTGTCAACTTATTGGGCCAAGGGATGTCCAGATAGCTGGCTAAACATTATTTCTGGGTGTATCTCTGAGGGTGTTTCTGGAAAAGATTAGTATTTGAATTGATGGACACAGCAATAAACAGATGGCCTTCCCCAGTGTGGGTGCATATCATCCAATCTCTTGAAGACCTGAGTAAAACAAAGATGTGGAAGAAGGT